TTTGTGTTTGTTTTCTCTCTCTCTCTCTCTCTCTCTCTCTCTCTCTGTTTGTATCTCTTGCTTTCTCGCTCATTGTGCTTCTGTGTCTGCTTCCTATTGTCTCACATTCATACACTTATTGGGTTCATTTTCAGTTTGAAAGCAAATTCTGCCGCTGTTTTGCACACCATTTTCTTCCTTAACTAGTGAGAGTAAGTATTGCAGGGTTCTATACACCTCAGTATCTCACACTAGCCTGTATTGTTGAACAATTACAGGTTTGATGAACATGGTTTAAAGGATGATTCCAAAAACTCTCTGCCCATAACCTGTCATGAATGTTTACAACTTACTTATTTGCGTAACGTAATAATTCTCCTTTGTTTTCTATAGGGATGCACTGATTCAATTGGCAGACTGGTATCAAGGCTAATACTGACATTATTAAGCAGATAAGATATTAGCCCTAAAATGTCTTTGTTAACGAGATAAGTATGTTGCAGTGTTTCATCTATCACTTACATTCATTTCGTTACGGTGGGTCATGTTTCCTTGCAAAAAAATGATCCCAATAGGTTTAACTCTTTGAGGTAGGCCTATACAGATTTTAACTTTAGGAAAAAGAGAGCACTGGTATCGGGTCAGTACCTGGTATTGGTTGAAAGCCTAAAAAGTTAGATCGGTGCATCCGTGGTTTTCTCCTCCAATTAAATTTGGCTAACCCAGGGGTTTGTTCAAGCAGTCTGTTGTCTAAATGCTTATTGAAAGTGTATTACCCCATCTGACTTTTTAGTGATGTCAATGCAATTAACTTGGTGAGTACAATGTTTCTACATCATAAACCCAAATGATCCTTTCAGTCAATCACACATCTTATCAGCTGTCTCAGGGGGACACCATGCACACACTAATGCTAAAAAAATCTCTATTTTGTGCACATAATCAACTGCTCCAACATGGGATGACTCCATGACTCCTGCTCCGTGCTACTGTGGCTTCTCAGGCAGTGTGTGTGTTTGTGTGATGATTTGTACTGACAGTTAGTTAGTCTAAGAATGACAGAAGCCAGTGATTTAAGATGGGGAAAAAAACAAGACATGCAACATATTGTTTCTGTTTTAAAAGTGGCCACAGCACAAAACAGGTCCTGGAGCATATCATTGGACAGATGACTGCAGCAGCCCATCAGTGGACGGAAGGAGGAAAAATGGACAACTTAAAAAATAAAATAAATAAAATACCAGAGAAAAAGACAACAATATGTACATAAGGCTAAATATCTCTCAACTCAGCAGCCCAGCCAGCAAGTTTAAACATCTCTCCTGCCTCTCTGATCCACTTTGAGGAATAAACGGGCTTGAAGAAAGATGCTTCAGGCGATGTCTGCCTGCCCCACAAGAACCAGAGCGTGCTATCAGAGTAAGAGGTAGAGGGAGTTAGGGAACGAGAGTGTGAGCAAGAAATTACTGACTTGCAGAGGTAGGCACAGGAAATGGAAGTCAGTGAAAAGGAGTCAAAAGAGCAGCAGAATCCGAGAGGGATCATATAAAAAAAAAAAAAAACATAGTTTGAGTAAACATAGTGTATGTGTTGACATAGGCCTGTCTCATCCCTTCTTTCCAACAAGTCTCTCTTTTTAGCCCCCCCACAACCTTACTTTTCTTTCATTCTGTTGTCAACCAGATCGTTTGTGTGGATAAGATGGCCCTTAAGATGGCTAGTTAGCGTGCTGTGTACAGAGGGATTGGCCCTTTCCCCTATATACATAAAGGCTGTATTCACGTGCCTCATTACCAGGATTAGGGCTCCTTTACTCCTTTGTGGGGCTGAAGGCTGGAGTCCTCTCTAGCCACAGTCTCTGTCTCTTTCTGTGGCCCGAGCTGGCCAGCATATGGCAGCAGCAGCCAACAGTCTCCACAGAGGGGCTCAGAGCTCAGAGCAAGGCCTCCTTTTGTTTAGGCCGTTATTGTTGCTCAACGTAATGACATTTGTAGGCCGTAGGATCGGGGTGGAGGGGTTAGTCTACCCCAGGGGAGAGGGGGAGAGAAAGGGAGACAGCAAGAGAGATGGAGAGGGATGGAAGGAGGGGGAGAGGCAAAGACATGTAGACAGACAGGAGTGTGGATTATGGAAATATGAATTGATTTTTTTTTCTGTGCTGTGGTAGAATAGAAAGCTCAAAGGAGAACAGACTGCAGGCTGGCTGGCACGCCGGGGTGGTGCTGGGGAAATGTGAAGTGAGAGGCGCTTGCTCCCTCTTTCTCTTTCTCTCTCTTTTCTCTCTTTTTCTTTTTCCCTCCTGCTCCCCCTATTCCTCCCTCAGCCCCTGAGACTCTTGATGCCCTGGTCATCCGCAGATGCCACTTGGATAGAGAGGGAGAGATGGAAAGATGGAAAAGAGAGAGAGGGAGAGGGAGGGCAAGAGAGAGGTGGCTAAAGCATATATTTGAATCGCAAGAAGGGCTTTTTTTTTGCAAATGAAGCAGACAGATGGAAATCTGTCCGTTTCCTCTCAGATCTCTTCCCAAAGTTGTGGAAAAAACACAGCAGACACACACACACACACACGCTCTGTCACACACAAAAAAACGCACACACACATACAGAAAATGGGTTTGCCAGTTAATTCTAGCTAACCACAGTGTGGTGTATAGAAGGCCCACTCTGTAGAGAACAGAGGATAAACAGACGACCATTTGAAATCTTATAGAGACTGTGAGCAACTCCGCAGTATTTAAAAAATGTTAAGTTACTCACACAGATACACCCCTCTGCAAACTGCAGAACTTCCTTGGCCAGCACTACATGCAAACACTCCAACACTAGGATTTTCTTAATTATGTGGATGATTATCTTTTATTTTGTAATAAACTTGTATCTGTCATAATGTCATTGTCATGCATTTAGCTCTCACAGCTGTTAGCCCACCGTGGAATTAAATGGTTTTAGCAAACAGATCTAAGATCTAATGTAAATCATAAGCGATGTAGTCAAACCCTCAAGGATGAAGGTGCTGTAAATTAGGTCTCACTCTCACCTGTTCCAGTACATATTTGACCCAATTTGGCGTTACCTCCCTCGGTGAGAATGCATCTACTAGAAATCTGATACGTTTCAGAATTTGTGCCTTGTCATTTGAACTCTGTTACCTATAGGTCAGCCATTTTTGTCAGAAATCCACAGATCCTTATGGTGGTGAAAGTAGCAAAGGGGTTTCAGGCAAAATATACAAGAGTATCACCTTATTGAACAAGTTATATACAGCATTGTCAGAGGAAAAAATAGTAAAGAATTGAAATACCAGAGGGGGTGTGGCTACAAGCCTGGGAAACTCAGTGTGCTACTACTAATATTCTCTTACCTGGAGAGATATGTGTAGGAAAAATCTGATTTTCTTCTGTCTGTTTTTATAACTCCTAAGCATAAATCCATATTAACTGGCACTCAGTACTCCTGCTGGAGGGATTTTGGATCAATGCTGGTCGAACATGGCCACACACGTGTTAGTATTGTCTGTCCTTTTTTTACTATTTTTTGAGAGAAAGTAGGTTTAAGTACTGATGGAGTGTTTCTCTCTACATATTTTGGAGATATATCTAAGTGATATCTACCTCCTGAAGATATTATGGGTGCTAGTAAAAAAAACAATTTCCAAATGCTGGCTTTAGAGAACCCCCCAATGGGATTAAATGGGATTGTTATTCTCAGGAAATACACACTGATTACTCCACATTCTGCCGCTTTCTCACCCCCAGTTTACTTGCATATCATACTCGTACATGCACACACACATGCACACACAGAGAGATAATTTTGTGTTTGCTTTCTTGGCATATCAGCGTTATGCGTCATTCTGGTTCAACCTCTCGGTGCTCCTTTTAATCTTTTCCTTATTTTTTACCCTCTGTCTCTAGTCCTGTCTATCCACCTTCATAAATCTCTTTGTGTCTATCTTTCTTTTTTGTTGGCGTATCCCTCCATCACTTCTGTCCCTTTTGTATCTCTTGCTTCCTGCCGGTTCATCAACCTTCTCGTTTCCAAACACCTCGTCTCGTATTTCCCCTCAAAAGACGATGTTGCGGGAAATTGCAAATTACACATAAACCACTTTTTTTCTCCACCAGACTAGTTGCACCATAATATCCAGAGAGAAATAAAGGCAATATTGAATTATGAATAGATTTTACTGCAAGGACTTCTCTCAGCTGCAAACTAAACTTGATGTTAACTCTCTATGGCCATTCCACACATTTTAATAGGGAACCTTTGATCTTCCTGCTGCATACTGCACATAGTTGATAATATAACATGCTGTTTTTCATTTATGCCAAGGCTACAGTAGGTGTGATTTGATCCTAAAAGGAAATATCTACACTTTGATATGAACATATATATTGCTATGTATAATCGGTTTGTAATATTTATTGCATTCTAGGACTTGTGCTGTGAGAAATGTTGTAATGTACTTTTCCCCTTCTACATGAGTAATTTTCTTGTGACTTTCTACATTTCCTAGTGGGCCTACTTTATGAGCTTGTTGCATTTGGGACATGTAGGTGGTGAAGAGAGCAACTGCTGTAGCAAAGTAAGAGTTTCCCCAGTTGAGAAAAACTGAGTCACAGACCTTATTTAAAACATATTATGTATTGATGGTACATTGTATTTTGGGCTAATTAGCTTAGGTGGAGTAAGTGATATCTTTGTTTCTTTGAAGATTGAGATTCCTTCTGTAATTGTTACAATTTGGTGCAAAACTAGGAGCCTAGAAAAAACC